CATGTAACCGACGCGAGATAAAGACATAAACAAGAGAGAGAGAGAGAGAGAGAAATACATTTTTCTTCATTCAATTATGATGGACGAACGGAAATGAATTCGAAACCCTCTGTTATCTTCCTTTTCTTGTTCTCTTAAGAGGAAAAAAAGAAATAGGAGAAAGATACTTCTTATGAATAAGATTCGAACATACACGAGCGACTTTTACAAATTTAGATGGTCAAAAAATTGAGAAAAGCATTAATCGATTCATGATAAATTATTTATACATGACTTTCAAAAAATTAAATTGAACATTATCTTAGTGACTCTTATTCTACTCGAATATCTTTCATTAATTAAATAATTTCCTGACCGAGAAAGAATTTAAGAATTTTAAATACATATTTTAAATTCGTCACGCAAAAATCGCAATCTAAATACATCTATCTTCTCACCTCAATTTTCAATTCGAAAAACAACGAAAGACGACAAAAAGCCTTAGAGCGCGCGAAACATAAAAATAAAAGTCGAGAGAGAAAAAAAAATAGAAATAAAAACGGAAAAAGAGAAATTACAACGTCACAGGAATAAAACGTATTTCACATTAAGAAAAATACACGTGACGTTCCTTCTATTTTAATTTAATAAAACAAAAAAAAAAAAAAAGTATCGTCTTCGAACTAATACACCCGCCCCTTCAACTCGAGAAAACAAAGAGAAACACTCGTACGTACAATCCCGTAATAAAACATCGTCCTAAACGCATCGTAAAATAAAGGTCGAGTCGAGAAGCGAGAGAGAGAGAGAGAGAGAGAAGAAAAAGTGGAAGAAGAGAGAGAGAGAGAGAGAGAGAAGGAAAGGAACGAAGTTGGACGCGAGTGTGAAAACGGTGGGCGTGCCTGGGCTTGCATCGTCACCCGGCAACGCATGCATGCATAATGCACGCAAAAACGTGCGCAGCTGCGGGACGTGCACGCGCATTTATCGATGCGCCCTTTAACGATCGTGTGTGCTTTCGATCACCGTTATCGCGAGGAGAACTCTTATTAAACGTGGAATGCGATCGAGGGAGAGGAGGCCCAGTGTTATTGCATCGATTACGATTTATCGTCTGACCGGACTAGACGTTAATCAAGCCTTAAGCCGTATTGACACGAACGTAGGAGGACCTCGCCAATTCGGAATATCAATTGTGATGGTTGTAGCCACGATAAATCGCTTTTAATTAATTGGGATTGGTATTAGGCGTGCTCGCGACGATTATATCACATTGGGTTGTTTATTAATTATATTTGCAACGTTATGAAAATTTACAAATTGATCTTTGATTTTTGAACCGAGCAAGCGATTACAATAATTGATCTTTTTTTATTCGAATTAAACGATATGTTTATTTATCGATGCTTTAAAAGTATTATTATTATTATTATTATCATCGTTAAATTTCACGAATGATTTTGAAAGGATTGAATGCCTGCATGAAGGGATTATAGAAATTTCATCTATCTTATATCGAATTGAAAAGTTTGCTAGAAAATTCAAGGCAATAAAGATAAGAATAGGAAGGATTCTTCGTTCTTCCGTCACGTGAAAGAAATTGGAAACGATAGAGTGTTGAATTGATATCAGATCGACGCAAATCTGGTTTTTAATTTCTCTCTCTAGCTAACAAGAATCGAGGTCCTACAACTTTGCACGTTGTGGATACATGCATATTCCACCGTGGCTCGATCGATCCTCGCAACTATGATTCCGCCTCGTTCAAGAATCGCACGTTTCAATGGAACCGAAATATTTCGACTCGCTCTATTCTCGGTTCAAAGCAGCAGCGCCGGTCGTCCGTCAAAGGGAGACAGGGTTACAAAATCTCGTCGATGTTTCGTTGCATTCCACCCCTTTTGAAATGCGTCCGTCTATTTCGAGAAAGACGCACCGATGATTCGAGCAATCGACTATTCAGCGACTCGTGTTCCCGGGAAACGGGTAAAATGGAAAAGGAAGAGGAGAAAATAACAAAATCGCACGGTTGAATTTTGCACGCGTTCTCCCCGTTTTAACGACTTTCTTTCTCTGTCCTTCTCCCCCCCCCCCTCTCTCTCCTCCAAGTTCTTCTCCGTTCGCCGACCTCGTAAAATATCTTACTCTCCACGGCGCCGAAAGTAATTGCCACTGGCGTGAGTTTAATCTTCGCGATTTTACGACCGTGCTGCGCGCGCATTCGAGTTTTAGTTTTGAAATCGAAACTTCTTCGCCCCCAACGACACCTGTCGTTGTACGATGTCCAACGTTTTTTCCACGAAATTGCGAATAAGAAAGAATATAAATTGGAAAGAATTTTTAGGGCAAGGAATATTTATAAGAGTTGTTGAATTGGAAATGAATATTGATCGTTGTATTTATGAAAATCTTATGATCGATGTTCGGCGCAAAACGTTCATTTCGAGTCAAAAACCGTTAGAGCTGTTTCACATCGAAAATTCATTTGAAAATGAATGTCAGTTGATTATTGATCGATATAATGCTCGTTTTCGAGAACGTTATCTTTATTTTTTTTTTTTTGCTACTTATTTTCGATGCTTGATTTGACCATACGTATCGTAATTGACACGATGATAACGTGAAAAACGAGCATTGTAACGATCCGTAATCGGCCGATATTCGTTTTCAATTGGACAACGAAAATGTGAAAAGCCTCTTAAGGTAGATTTGTACATTTGTTATGCGTTGCCGTTGAAATATGCGAATATTTATAATTTCATTCCATATGTACTATTATATCCATATCGAAACATCAAAAAGACATAAATTTTGTAATAGGAATAAGCTAACAATGTAACACCTTCTGTATAAATTAATTTAATCGAATATTATCATTTAACACGAAAAATCTAAAAGTAACGAATCGTTTCTATACGTATTTTTCATAATATCATAATTTCGACTGATCATTTTTGACCGAGAATCCCAAATCGATATCCCGAATCCTGCAACATTCATTATGAAATCTACATAGTAACAATACGCTATCCTTGAACCTATCTCTAATCTATATTCATATCCACATCCATATTCATACTTAACGTTATAATGATCCAAATAATATATTAACGCTATAATTGCCGGTTTGTAATAAATAAATATCTAATTATTTAATGCATGTAACGATTACGTATAATTAATGGAAATAAACAGACACAGATATTTTCTCAAAATTATTTTCACTTCTTTTCAATTCTATTTTTGTTTAATTGTAAAACACAAATTATAAAATCCATCGTCTCGACAATTTTAATAAAATCATCATTTTATATAAAGCGCAATTAAGTAGTATTACAGAGATCACAAGTTGTCCACAAATTAAAATGGCGGCAGTAAAGGAATTAGGCTAGTTTCACCCACGAGAGATGTACATGATATCCAATGCGTTCGAATTATCCCATTCTATTTCGATCCTTCTTTTCGACCATGGATACAGCCAATAACAAGAATACGAACGCTCGAGACGTTATTATAACTAGTCGGCAACTTACGATCTCCGCAAGATCAAACATGCGCAACACGCGAAAAAGGAATAAGAAGAAGAAGAAGAAGAACGCGATCCACGCGCATAAGGGCTGGAAAGTACACGGTCGAAAAGGCTTACATCGCGTCCACGTCCAATTACCAGCGGCGCGAGGGGGGGAGAAAAATCGAGCACGCGTGCGTCCGGTGGTAACGGCGATAAATCGTGGCCGAAATGTGACCATCCGTAAGAATAAAGCGAGGGGTCTCGGCTCGGTTCGATATATCCGTCGGAGCAAGACCCGGATGTACGGGAATAGCGGGTCGCGCGAAATCCGGATCTCTGTCTGCGTGCGTGCGTGAGACTAATAAAACTGGCAACAGGGCAGGAGAAAAGTTGGCGCGCTGCCAGCCGGAACGAAGCTAATCTCACTTTCGGTTTTGTCCCGCACACCTCCCTCGCCTAAATAGCCGACACGCCACACACACACATACACACAGGCCAAGCAACAACACAACACCGCTATTGCCCACCTGTGCAAATTGGAATTCGATCGTGGACCATCGATTTTCACGACCGCCTCGATATTTTTGTCCCTTCCCCCCTTTGCTACGACGATCAAATTCGCCTCTCTGAATATTTTAGTTGACGGATTAATAACAACCGGCCCTCGGGTTGGCGGTAACACGGTTGGAAATTGTATTACCGAGCCGGAGATTGGCGATACGTTCGAGCAATAAACTCGATGGCGCTTTAACCTGTTAAGGGTCAACGGAACGTTATATTAACGAAATATTTGCTATCTTTTCTCTCTCTGTCGATTTTCGGATAATTGTGTATCTTTTAATGCTGTAGTTATTGTCCATTGATAGAGATTCATTAAAAATAAGTTTTGCAAAAATAGTTTTTGAGATAAAATGATGCGATGCAGTTAAATATCAAATACACGTTTCATCTGATATAAAAAAATACAATTGGTTAAATATTCAGTTAATAATTTTAATATAATATAAAAACAGTTTTATATGGAAATGTTATAAAGTATTAAATAGAATATTATAACGTATTTTAAGAAATATTTTTTTTTTACAAATCGACAAATATTATTTATCCGGCAAAAATTTCTTCCATTATCATTTTTCACCCTCCCTATTTTTCTCCTTCGCAAAAGTTTAAACTATTTTTTCGTATTTAATTCATATTGCAATAATACAACATTCTCGTTACCCATACCCAGCAGTCTGCATTTTCAAAATTACAGTAATTTTAATAAATTTCGAAAGTTTTGGTCGAAAATTTCACATTTTATCGAATGTTTCGAAAAATCCTATAAATTCAAAATATACTCATAAATGCAATATTTTAATACAACCATAAAATAACAGAGCTAAAGAACAAAAGTATTCGCACGTTTATTTTTTTTTTTTGTAAAAAGAAAAAACCTCACATTCATGTTTTCACAAAACACGAATTCTTTTCTCCCCAACCTTGGAAAAAATTAATTAAACACCGTTCGAAAAATTGGATTATTCGCACCGTTCCTCGCCTATGTATCCACGATATACATAGCTCGTGCAACTGAAATAGAACTGACCGACTCACGAGTGGATGGAAGAGGTGGGAACCTAGTTACGCTCGAGGAAGGATTAGCGTGATTCGCGGGGTGAATGGAGGGGGGGGGAACAAATGCGATTCCTGAATTTTACGTCTCGTGATCACGCGACGGCGATGGAAAAAGGAAGGAATCGAAAAAGAAAAGGGATTTCTCTGTTTTATATAGCCGGCTCGATTGTAGCGGGACACGAAGGATGGAGAAATCGGTGGAGATCCCCGGCCAGGGAACTCATCGATATCTGGCCGTGCACCACCTGCTACCCGTCCCCGGCCATCCTCGGATTGCACCTGCGTGCAACCCCTCCCCGACAGACGGAAGGTGCGCATCCATCGGAATTTCGAACAGCTGCTCCTCCGGCGGGGACCTTTGCCTCGTTTCACCGATTATGCAATCGAAGGGGAGGGATTGCGTATTCGAAGGAATAATAATAAAGGAGAGAACCTCCTTTTTTCCAAATCCTTTTTCGAGCAAGATATTTAATAACGCAAACTCCTTTCTCTTATAAAAGAAAGGGATAATACAATTTCTTGCAATTTCTCCTTTTATACAACCGTTTGCAAAACTGAATGGAATATCTTTTCCTCGAATTTTTCCAACTTCCCTTCCCTTGGATAAAACGCAGAAAAATAGGAAACTTTTTCGTTTCGTAAAACGTGTATTTCCTCCTCGATCGATCCTCTTTCGAAGGAAAAAGAAATCGTCTTCCAAATCAAGACAAATCAGGATGACTACTGGGCCAGACTTTTTTTTCCACCCTCGAGAAGCTTATTAACGAGCCTCGAAGAAATTTTTGCAATCACCAACGAGATACGAGTCTGTTCTTGCGGTGAAATCTTTATACCTCGAAGGGATATTATTACGAAACTTGGGTTTTTACCCTCAATCACCCGTTCGAATCTTGCTTTTCAACAAATTTGAATATTTCGAGCAACGAGTAAGTAAGTAAAATCGAATAACAGATATTGAAACGATATAAGCCGGATATATAATTCTTCGAAGCTTTAAAGCTCTTTCTTTCTTCGCGAGAATAGAAATAGAAGGAGATGTTTGCGTCGCGCGTTCCAGGATCGAACGAAGAGACTACTCACTCGGGAAAAGTTTCTTGCAGAGTTTGTTGGGCGCGGGGATCGAGGCAACTATTTCCAGACACTCGGCCGAGGGACCCCCGGGGATCGAGAAGTCGTAACCCACGGATTGCAGAGATGGGGACAGTTTCGAATCCGTTTCTTTGACCGATAAAGATAAAAATCAGCCAAACGATCAAGGATTTTCTAGCAGCATCTCTTTCTAGAAATAAGAACGATGAGTTTTTATATTTCTTTTTTTAGTCGACTAGATTAATTCTTCCTGAATTTTCTTCTTTCGCTTTATTATATTCGAATAAATTATGATTTTAATTAATCGAACTGCGAGCAAGTGAATACAAAAGAATTGTTAATCAAACAAAAAGGGATTGGATCGAATGTAATACAGATGAGAAGAAAATTTAAATTTAATATTTTAATAATTAATTTAACGAAAAGGAGGAAACACTTATCGAAACGTGCCTCGAAATTGAAGAACAAGAAGAAGAAGAAGAATCATGGTCTAATTCCTGATCGTGGCGGACAACTCAGCACGTCTGCGCAAATTTCGATGGGTTAAAGGAGATAAAGGAGATACAATTCCATCTGGGTGCTCGAAAATAGGGGTTAGGAAGCAAGATCGATCGAAAAGGAGCTCCAAACTCCTTCCCTTCCAACGATCTCAAACCGTCCACGTCATCAATATTCGTAACGCGAAGCCGTTCCACTCCTCCCCCTCCTCCTCCATCGATAAAATTCCCTCGACCTTTCCTCGACCACGAGGAAGAGGATGGAACATCCAACCATCTTCTTTTACGATCCCTTAAAAGCACCGGCCCTCAAAGACCGAGGGATCTTTGGCGAAAGGCTTTGGTAAAATCCGCAAGATCGATGATCGTGTATCGGCAAAACTGTTCTCAACCTTGCCAATCCGGAAGGCAATTAATCTCCTCCTGACTGGGGGTGTAATGATCGATAAAGGGATTCTGTTCGATTCTGCTCATTTTGTACTACTCATTAAGTAGAAGATGTGTATCTTTATATAGTCAACGTTTAGTAAAATACATTACTATTTAAAGTATGAATATGTATGGATATTTGAACAATGTTTGTCAAATACGTTTATTTATATCGGTGTTAGCTTGAAATAATTTTTTTTGGATATAATTTTGCTGGACTCGTTATCTTTACGAATAAGAACGATGAGTAAATAATAAGCGGTAATATCCGGCGATTAAGGAAGGTAAAGAGGGTTTGAAAGATATCGCGAACAGTATCGTGGTATCGATCGGTGTTTTCGTGGAAATTTCAATTGGTGGCGTGAGCCAAGTTCTCGATCGAAGCGAAAGTTAGTTCGCGGCAATAATTATTATTCGAGTTGGTCGCACCAGCGGTGTTGAAACACCCGTGTTTCGAACGGGTATTGCCGTCTAATTAAACCAAGATCTCGTCGCACTTGTGTACAAACAAACTCTTTGCCTGCATCTGCCGGAGCATTTTTTCTGGCCAATTTCTTTTTTTTATCACGTACTTAATTATAGACTTAAAAGCTTACTAGAAAGACTAGAAGAAAGATTTCGTAATAATAAACTCGCATCGACTCGTATCTACATCAATCTCTAATAAAAAGGAATTATTGTGTGTATCTTTTTATACCAAACTTTCATTCGAAACACTTTTTTACCGAACATAATACGAAGACGGATGAAACGTGTATTGGGAAAAAAAAAAAAAAACACAAGATTTTTCTTCCCTCTCTCCCTATTTCTCCAAATTATACAGACCAAATTATTATTTCAACCGTGAACAGGCAACAACACGCGAAGAATTCATGCGGCCGGATGTTAAAAGTGTAAAATTTCAATCGAGAATTATCCGTGGTATTATAGAAATTTCTTCGCTAATATCGCGGATAACGAAATTTCCTGCGGGGGATGTGCAACGTCGAAATGGGAGGGGAGGAGGAAAGAGAATTTCCAGCCGATCGATGGATTAATCTCGTGCGCGCCGCCAGGCGAAAAAATGGTGGGAAACTCGAATGCGACGTGTAAATAGCGCGGTGCGCATTCAACTCGCAAATCAATACTCGGCCGCATCATTAAATTCAGACTTTTAATTTAACCGTGTGCAACCCGTGTTTGCTCGTCTCGCGCGCGGCCGACTACAGGTATCCGGGTCAAACGATCCGTACAATCGCCACTATTTATTTTAATTTAGAATACCTGCGGATTTGGCAAATAAATTTTTGAATTATTTATTACAAACTCTCTCTCTCTCTCAAGATGCAGTAGTATATAAAGGTTTATCGTAACGTGCGTTCTTTAAAATCGTATTTTAGATTTAGAAAAAAATTATACTCACTTTTTTCTTCAATATTGCGAAACAAAGATTAGATTGCACTGTCTTGGATATTCTAATAAGAGAAAATATAAAGAAGAGAGGCGTAAAAAAAAAAAAAAAAAAAAAAAAAAAACTTTAAGTGGTTAAACGATTCGAGAAACATACGGCGAAGAATTTCCGGTGGGATGCGCCTGCGCCGTGGATCGTCTTACGTCGAAGCGATCGGGAATGAGTCACTGACTCCGGGTTCATTCAAAAGTCGGGGCTCGTCTCTTACAGCGATGCCGGTGTATCCATGCGGGTCAAGCAATGCGAAACCTCTGTCCGTCTCTCTCTCTCTCTCTTCCCCTCCCTTTTGCTGTTCCATGCCTATCCACCACGATGTTGCGCAACTGCGCATACGTGGACGCGTATGCCAACACGGCTGATATCGATCTCGAAATTATGCATTCGTCGAACCACGTTTCCTACGCGCAACGCCGATTTCCCCTCCGCGAACTCGAATTAAAACTCGACTATTCTCCTCTTTCGTTCCGTTTTATTTCTACGTCCCCGGAATTTTCCACAACGCGGAGAAAAATTGTTGCGGACAATCGACAAATCTTCGAGGATAGAGAACGCGAATAGAAATTTACGTTTTATATATATATATATATATATTCGCGCCACGATTCTAAATCCAGAGATGATAGCTCGTGACAGATCGAAAATGTGCGTATTTCGGCCAGACAGCTTTTTCCAGCCCATTTACAGGCTACACAGCGTCCATTGGTTACCAGATGCGGCTCTGTCGACATGTGCGGCTCGCTCGCAATTCGTGCATACGCAGCGCGCCTAATGTTAAATGCATATATTACGGGAATATGGTAGACCGCCCACGTGCTGTTCAACGATGCTTTAATCTGTCGCTCGCAATGTGCCCTCGTTCCACGTACATAACGTGTATGTAAAAAAAAGTAGATGAAAAAGCGTCGAATCGACGTGTTTGCTTTAACACAATTTTCTTATCTCTCTCGTCCGCTGTTATTTCGATCGTTAACGCTCGTTCGATCCTCGAATAAATCTCGATTCACTTATATTCCCAGGGGAATACAGCAACCTTCCTTTCTCACGGCACGGTTTCGAAGCGACATTTCTTCTTTCCCTCGCCACGAAGGAAGCTCGATACAAGCTCGAAAAGTTGGCAGACGGGGGAAGAAAGAAGGAGAGGAACAAGTGTGTCGACGACTTGCAGGATTGGTAGGTTGCCAAGCGTACGTACAACCGGTAACCCGCTATCAATCTCGTTTTCCCTACGTTTCTGCCTCCTCTTCCTAATCCTTCTCTTCTCTCACTTTTCACCGTTGCACCGAGTTCTTCTTATTCGATTTGCCGCATAATTGGAATCCGACCGAAACTTTTTTGCTTTTGGCTAAAAATAGAAATGAAACGATGATATATATTCTAGGGGCAGAAACGAAAATGTCGAGGCTGTTGAATCACAACCAAGAAGCGTTTAATTTCGCACACCAACTTTCGTTTTTATTCCACTTCTCCGAAGAATCTTTCAAAAGTATCCACATCCCTGTGCACGGATAATTTCGAATCGTTTCCATTCGACCCTTCTCTCGCCAGAATTCAATTATTACCTCTTTATCTCCAGAATCTGGACGGAGGTGGAAGAGCGGGCAGCGGCCTCGCGCGGTTGTATTTTCAGCAACGTGTCATCCGGTTCGCGTTTTACGCGGCGCGTTTATTTTCGGAGAGGGAGAAAAAGGGGAGGAAGAGAGGAATTACAGCGACGCACTTCAAAGGGGAGCCCTCGTTACTTTATTAGCGCGTGCCTCCACCACGTAGCTCGCGGAAAGAAAGATCGTGGCTTTGAATCTTTGAAACGCTGGATAATGTTCCCGGAACGATCGCATAAATTTCTTTGCCTTTCCACGCGGCGAGCAGAGGATGCGACTCGAAATTCCATTCTTCCAGATCTCTTTCTTTCTCCATTTCGACTCTTGGTCTTTTTAAATTTTTAAATTACAATTCACTCGAGGTTAATGAATTAATTTCTTCTTGCAAACAAGAAGAAGAATTAACTCTCCTTTAACTTATCCTGTTTCCAAAAATCGAACGATCCTCGAGGATGAAATCGCGAGACCAAGCTCTCGAATCGACCAAGCTTTCGAGAGGTTTAGAGGCGATCTAGAGGCTCGAGTGGAAACGTGGAATAGAGGAGCGATCGAGCCGGCTATATTTGACCGGGTGACGTAAGGGGACTTTTGCGATGCACTCGGCGCTCTTTAGACTTCCTGCTGTTTCTCGCGGGGAAAAAAGAAGGAAGGAAGAAGAAAAGCCGGTTTTTGAGACACCAGAATTGCTTCTTTCCCGACGAAAGATGAAAGGGAACGAGTGTTTTGTTAACGTTCGGTTCTTTTTTCCTTTTCCTCCTAATATCTGGTTATTTCTGCTTTCGAACGAAAGCGACGCGAGCATTTGTTGATATGCAATTCTCGAAATGTAAATTACACACATCTGAGAAGCAAGAGATTGAAAGGAATTATCTTTTAAAAACCCGATATTTTACGATTATTATACTTTTTTTTGCGCACGACTATTTTTACATTAACGGCATCGAGGCGTCGCAATTATGCAAAATGCATAAATAAAGGATTCTTGCTTCGTAGAAAGAAAATGCTAATTATTTTCCCCCTCCTCTCCCCCCCCCTTTTTTTCGTTCAGACTTGCGTCAGATATCAATACCATTTACATTTACCTCGCCTCGATATTCAACAACAATTTTACTTACTTCTCAACGATCTATCAATTATTATCCCGCATATTTATTCTCTCGTTCAAGAGAGAGAGAGAGAGAGAGATTTCTCACGAATTATTATTATTATTATTATTATTATTATCGAATAGTAACTTTTACACGACAAAGTTATTTAAAATTTACATTCAAGTTTATTTCAAGAGGTTAAGTAACAGCGGCGGTCGGATCGGCCAACGTGTCAATGACAATGTGCCAACCGCTCGGGACGGTCAGAACAACAGAATGAAATTTATTCCTCAATGGCTATGAATAGATGATAGGATAAATAATTTTACCAATTTTAGAAACTGCCCGATCGGAGGGGGAGGAGGGGAGTCGAGATTATTTGAGAATAGAATTTGGCCGATATATAATGGTTATTTGCTTAAGCACATTGAGAGAATAGTTTCCGGAACGGCGAGCGAGGTGGTCTTTCGTTAATTTCCTGCAGCGAATCGTATTGTAGGGGGGCCAATTTCCGTTGATAAATATACTATATACCGGGGTAGGTAATTGGAGCGCAATGCCGCGACGAAAATCGGATTACGGATTGAAATTTCACTTCGCTTCGTAGGTATGTTGGCTTGTCGGTTTAAATTTGACATTTAAAATACGGGACAGCGTGTCAATTATTCAGGTATTCGAGCGGCGGCGGCGGCAGCCAAGAAAGTGCCGCGATCCTTAATTGATTTAATTTTAATTCATTAAGGATCGTCTAAAATTAGGCGAATAATTAACAACTCGATTAATGTGACGCGTAACGGGAATTTTTTCCACGGATTAAATTTGCCACGCGATATAAATACGCTAAATGTGTTACCAAATAGTAGATCGCGTTAATTGTTCATTCTCGAACAATGCTTAAATTTAAAGTGAATTTATCCCCTCGTCTAGAATCATTCAACTTATATATCAATCTATAATTCCTCCTCTATCGAGTGTAATAATAACCCGTCTATGATGACGAAAAGCATGGCGCTTCGTACGCCAATATAAAAATGATTCTTTCCAACGTTTTAAACGATCTTACGTGATATGATAGAGAAACGAGAAGAAATAACAGTGGCGCTAAAGTGCTCGAGTAACCTAGAGAAACGAAAAGAAAAGAGAGAAATATATATATAAGAAAGAAAAGGTTCAGAATCCCACAATTTCGTTCCATCAACATCGGGAGGAGCCACGAGAGTCAGCACTTCCTTCCTAGCTGAAATCCCTCCTACGATTCCCCTCGTCCCTTAAAAACCAGAGATTCAACCAGACGAGTCTTTTGTTTGTGGACCGGTTCTTCTTATAGTTCTTCGAATCATTTATTCCCCTCGGCACGCCCTCCTCCCCACATATCTTTCCATCCCTCCCCACTCAACCTTTTTTCCCTCCGTCCCACCACCCTTAACTTCTCCTTTTCCTTTCACGGCCTCCTCTTTTTCTACACACGTATTCCCCTCCCTCCAAATCCCAGAGGGGCGATGCACTTTAAGCCCTAATTCCATCTCGCTCTTTCGACCAGTTTAATCAATGAATCGAAAATCTTCCCCGATCCTTATCCTATGATTCCATCTCTCTTCGTGTTGAACATTATTTAGATAAATCGATATTTCGGTAATTATTATTCATTAAAAAAGGAACTTTCTCGTTTTGAAGATTTGGAATAAAACTTTTGTTTGCATAACTTGCAAAGAAATATTTGCAACAAAAAAGTAAGTCGAATCGAGGAAAATAAAATAGAAATCTAATCATACTTTGTCTCTATTTCGATCGGCTAAGAATCGTTTATTTCATTTTCGCATTAATATCGCTAACTAACATTAGTTAAAAATTTTCGAGTATCTCGAAAAAGTCATTAAAAAAAAAAAAAAATAATATCCTAAATAATTTCGCCATCCTTGGCGAATGTTCAGAGAATGCCTACCTTTCTCGAGATGCTGAGAAATAGGGCTTTGTATCCTAGGCGCGGTGTGCAACTGTGCGGCGTTTCCAGGACGTCCTCGGGGCCTCCTTCCGGGTCTCGGCTGAAACACACAAGAAGGAAAAACAAGCTCAACAACAACCTTCGTCCTCCGATTATATATAAATATAATATTAAAATAACGACGAAAATGATAAAATCCTCGATAAAATATTCGATTCGAAGAAGCGTTCCTTTCCTACGTCTATATTCTCTATATTCTCTTCTGCATGATCGTAACGTCGGTCTGGCCCCATTTGTTCCCGGTCGTAAAGTCACGCGACGAGGCCAACTTGGACAGGGTTGCGAATAAACGGGGTGCAGGCGGTCCGCGTCTTTGTTCAACTGGCGCATTTATTACCGTAGATAAACGCGACAGCGCGGACGGTACTAGAGATAAACGCCGCGTTCGCAGCGTTCCCTATACAGGGTGATCCGAGAGAATTCTAATAACGATACATGCGTCCATAGAGTATATATATATATATATAGTATATACACAGTTTCTAAAAAGATCGACGTGGCGGGTAAAAAAAGTTGGCCGTTAATTCTTCGTTTCGAGTATTCGTGGAAGCGTTTCTCTTTTTTTGCCCACCGAGCGCGACCGCGCGCGACAAAAACATCGAGGCGACCGGGTGTAGCAGGATGGAAGAGCGAGGAAGGGAATAAGAAAGAAGGCGGGACGTAGGCGAATTTACGAGCGTGGAAAGGATACGCGCGGCTGGATTATCGGCGAATATTCTCGAGACTCGAGGGAGAGTGAGTGAGAAGAGAAAGAGAAGAGAGAGAGAGAGAGAGAGAGGGAGATAGACCGCCTCGAGAGAATTAAAAGCCGGTCGTTTCGAATATATACGAAAAGGTGATCGGGAATTGCCTCCGATGAGATTGCCCCTCTAAGATAAGAGGACTTTGAACGGCTGAAACTCTCGAGATCCATCGGAATAGCCTGTACAGGACGATAGGAAAAGATTAATTCGTAATTCGTGTAGCCTATACACGAATCCTACTTTTTCCACGCGGTTCTCGTGTTTCCCTTCGGTCGAAAGAATATGCCTCCCGGGACAACCTCCCTCCCCCGATGCCAGAAAAGAAGATTCCAGCCTGTTTTATTGTGAATCGAGGTTAAAGTCTCTGGCACGGGACCAGACATTTCACCTAGGCCGTCGCATTCCGCCGGATGCACATGGCCACGCACATTATGTGCCCCTTATGTAGTCCCCGCGTGTGCCTTCCTCACATACCGACCACTTCCCCTTATGTAGCACCGGCCGGTGATCTACGACTCGTGTATACACAGGCGAGCATTAAAAGGGGAGGCGGTCCTCGCCGCGCGGCGCGGAGAGGGGGGAAGCTCATGAAATAAATAGTTTGCGCCGTCGCTCCGGGCTTTGTGTCGTCGTTGGTGCGCCAGTGGCGTAGGGTCGACTCTACGATACCCGCACCAAGAATGCGGAATAAGTGGGCCGACCGAGGAATCCCGAACGACCAAATTATTGATGTCTCGCACACGTCGCTCGCTATCTATATATATATATATATATACATACGCGTGTCTAACAATCGTTACCGATTCCTCGATGGTCGACGATTTATTGTCATTTTTTTTTTTCTTCTTTTTTAACACGATCGCAATTGTCCAAGCGACAAAAATATAGATGTATATTATATTCGTCGGCGCTTGTAAACAGATTCGATAACGACGAAAGTGGCGCAGAGAGCATCGTAAACGGGGTCGTGTGGAGGGATTGATTGCACTCTAGGCGGAGCGCTGTGCACTTGCTCACGGATGATCTCGTAATGCCATTAACAGGCAACCTCCACCGGTGATATCGTCGCCGCAGGCGGATATAGGCAGATATAGCACCTTTTTCCGGCATATGCTAATCTAATTAATGGGTACACGGAAAGTCGAAAGTGGGTGCGTGTGCTTTAAGTGGTTATCTATGTAACTGGAAAAGATCAACGCGTATTGGCGCGGGGATAACCGGGGATAGGCGATCCTTCTCGTCAACACGGATTAATTTCGATAATTTTGATACGATAACGTGATGAACTGTTGATGAATTTAATTTTAATCTTATATTTTTAAGATAAAACGACGAGGAGGAACAAGTTGTTTCGCTTTGAAAATTTGATTTGTCGTTTACTTTTAACTTTCGAAATGTTAACTTTATGGCATCGCGCATATATAAATTTTCTTGCAAAATTTTCCCTACTGCGATATTCGATCGTTTTAAACGATATTGCGCCATAAAAAATAATAATAATAAACACGTCACGTTGTAAATAAACAATGTTTTTAATCGTAATTTATTCTCAGACAAGGACTCGACTGGCCAGCTCGGAATCAGCGTGAACGAGCTGTAACAATTTTCTTGGCGCGTAATCAACTCTATAACTGCTCGCGAGCTCCCGTATAAATTACGATTTCTTACTTTCGCTTCCCCTCTTCGATGTAATTTATTTAATTTATCATTCTTCGATCATCGATATTCGCTTGAATCAATTTCACTTGGATGTATACCTTTAACATTTATTAACATATAAAAATTCGAATTCGAAAATACGACGATACGTTAAAAAATAAAATAAAATAAAAAGGTTAAACATCGTCGTCGAACGGACGATGACTACTTGAAACTTGAATCGTAAATATGGAAGCCAAATACAAATCGAGAGAAGTATGACCCGTCACCCCATTGCGATCCTTTACGATTCTTTACGAAACTTTAGGAACAAGGTTCACGCTCCATTTTGTAACGTATTTCACGATACATTACAAACTTTTGATCGATAGCAGACACGAAGGGTGGTGGTACGATAAAGCTAGCCAGCTCACTTGTTTACCAATTTTTACCGCCTACCTTGGTGCGGCCAACCGGTTCTCGGGGATACCGGTTACTCTTTCCTGCCTGGTGAACTGGTCCACCCATGCCCCCCTCTCGCCATTTTATCCTACCCAGAAATCTCGACGAAATATCTTCCCTTCTTTTTTTATCGCTCGCACTTTCCTCCGTCGCCCTCGATTTCATCCTGAAATTTCTCTGATCCTTGCGATTAACCGATTCATCAATTTTTTTCTGATTGTATCGTGGAAAAAAATTCGCAAAAAGTATGCAGAAATACGAAGAAGAGATTATTTTATTATCCGATGGTGACCGAATCGACGTAACCGGCCGTGTCGTTTACTCGATTTTGACATGCGACAATAACCAGTGCACGGGAGAGAGAGAGAGAGAGAGAGAGAGATACGTGGGTCGGTGGACGTGACTTCGTTTTATCTATGCGCATACTTGACTCGCATGCAAGTCAAGTATCTCGATGAGGTATTGACAGTCAGAAGGGATCCGTCTGTTCGTACCTTGACGCGCGATAAGTGACAACGACTGATAACAGGCCGCGTGTATTCACGCCCATTAGCACACTGCCTCGATCCTCGAGCGGTTGTTGCTCGATCGGATCGTCGAGAATTCGATTCGCGCAAACTTTCCAGACGGACGAACAACCAGTAATTTCATCATCATTCCTCCTCCTCCTCCGCCCAGGATCGAATTCGTTCGCCAATTAACTCTTATTTTCCCGAATTTCCACTCCGAAACGTTACCGGTGAATGGGCGGCGTTCGAGTCGAGAGATTCTCCTCCTCGGGTAAATTCATTATCGACCAAGTCGAATTGTCCCGTGTTCTATGAATAATTCGTGGCCGAACTGGTGGAGAGATCTTTCTAAGGGGGAGGAGGTCTCTGGGAATAACACCGCCCGATAACAACGATCGTTTAAATATGATCGAAATATTGCTATTTCAGTAGGTGAACTGTAATTTAAATATAACGTCCTATTTACTGGCAAGATATAATGGGAAAAACTAAAAATTTCCTGCGTGAAAAATTCAGGTTTGGCATGGAAGAATAACTTTCAATCCCAGTTCCAGACTCGAGAAAGGAAATTTTAAGCTAAATTGTTCCTATAACTCTCTATACATAGGGTGCTAGCATTATTTTAAAAATCAATAAAAAATAAATAATAAATAAAAAAATTATTTATAAGCGTGATCGATAAGCATTGAGAAACACTGGAATGGATTAATAATCGAGAACGAGGACGCGTTGAAGATAAAAGGAAGGGAAAATTAGGGAGAAAAAAGAGAATGGAAAAAAAAAAAAAAATTAATCCAGCAAGTGGTAGAGAAAAAGTTTCGTTTCTATCGATTCTTTGAAAAGTGGCGACGCGGTTAAATCGCGCCACCCTGTATACGCATTCATGAATAGTACACGCGTCCCGTCGTTCGCAAAGAGACGCAGGCAGCAGACGCGTTTATGTAGACATTCGTACATATGTATATGTATGTAGGTAGATACGTATGCGCGCGGCGCTCGCCTCTCTCGGCACATGGCCGATGTTCTATATATAAGCGCGTTTCTATGTAAGCGGTGTGTGTAACGGCAACGGACCGGCAGATATTCCGATCGATCGTAGCCCGGGTTATCTGACTGCCAACGAGAATTCATTTTCCCTTCCATTCGTCTCTCTTCCTCTCCGTGCCACTCTTTCCCCTTTGTCCGTCTCTCTCTTGCACCCTCGTTCACTCGTTCGTTGTGCACCCACACAACCCACCCTTTCGCTCTTTCCATCACCCACTCTTCCACCATCTCGCTTTGCTTCCCTTTCTCGCCGCCGCATCTCCTCTCTCCTCCTCGCTCGTCTTGTTTCATTCCTCCTTCCTACGCGTGGGTATAAAGGATCTCCTACATTAACGTTCAAAAGTTTATACACGCGTGTCAATAAGGAAAAGGGTCCTTGAATTTCTCCCCCTCTCTCCACCCAGAAGAGATCGATGCTTCTTCTCTTTATGCGTATATCTTTCAATTAAACCGTTCTTCTTTGTTACGGAATCTTGTGTGCCAACTCGTCCGTGTTCATCGTGGCTCTATGAATATTCTCGGGTTTTCTGTTTAAGTTATATGTGTATATACGATCGATTATATGCGTGTTTATCGTTTATATTTCGTACGAGTTGTGTACATATTTTTTTATCTTCAATATTAATTTCAGACGGTGTGTAATT